CCTCTTAAAGGGGAAAAAAACCCGGCTAGGCCCCGCCCCCTCCCGCCTACATCCCATAATATGCCCCGGGACCCCGGCAACAGGCCCCGTCCCCGACATCCCATAATACTCACCCTCCCCTCAGAACTTCCCACTCACTGCCCGGCCCGCCATCCCATAATAATAACCACCCCTCCCGCCGGGAACATCCCATAATACTGTCCCCCCCACCGCACCTTCACACTGAGAAACATCCCATAATACTCCCCCACGCTCCGCACCCCTTCGCTCCGGCATCCCATAATACTGACCCCCCAAAGAAACATCCCATAATACTGCGCCCCCCGCCCCTCGCGGGACCCCGCGTGCCGGGGCAGGGCGGCCCCCCGCGCCTCCCGGGTCTGCCATCCCATAATAGGCACGTGCCCCTCCCGCAGGGACGGCGCTGTGGGGGGGCAGGGCGCACCGTGAGGACCCCCCCCCAACATCCCATAATAGTCACACCCTGAGCGCGCACATCCCATAATAGTCATTCCATCCCCCCCCGCCTCGCGCCCAGGCAGGCATCCCATAATAGTCGCCGGGAGCCACCGTCCAGCCCGGCATCCCATAATACTCGCGGCCGCCCGCCCCGCACCCGCGGGGCTTCGCCGCCCCCCGCCCGCCCTGCCCGGGGCACGGGCCGACCCCTGGCACCGCGCGGCCTCCGCGCACCTCCCGCCCTCCTGCGCGCTGCCACCGGCCCCGGGCACGGGCTCCGGGCACCGCCCTCCCACCGCCGACCGCCCCCGACCTCGGGGCTGAGCGCCCCGCTCGCTTCCCTGCCCCGTCCTGCGGTGSCCCATCCCGCACGCCCTGCCCTCCAAAGCTGTCCATGCCTGGTGCGGTCACTGCCAGCGCTAGCCTGTGTGTGGACAGCCYGCAGTGATTCTGCCTCCCCTGCACCTCGAAGCTTCCTGACTGCTGGTACCTGCAGAACTACCTACCCCAGGGATATACATTCTCCCAGGCAACTAGAGACAGGACGGGAGMATGCAGTCTCAAGCAKTGCCAGAGAAGGTTTAGGTTGGACATCAGGAGGAATTTCTTCATGGAAGAGGGAATCAGACAGTGGAATGGATTGCCCAGGGAAATGGTGGAGTCACCATCCCTGGAGTTGTTTAAGGAAAGGCTGGATGTGGCACTTAGTGCCATGGTCTGGTTGCCATGGTGGTGTTCGGTCAAAGGTTGGACTTGATGATCTCAGAGGTCTTTTCCAACCTAATTGATTCTGTGATACATGGCGTGTCCACGCACTCCCTTCCTCCATGTCACCCAGCATCGTGCTCCCTGCTSCAGCCTCCGCCAGGAAACTCATCATTGATTTACACAAACGGTCCGTAGGTATAAGTATACTCCAATTATGCACATGCAACTGTATCATTAATTTYCCATTAAACAAAATCACATCACATAATGCTGCCTCATCCTCTGTTGAGCATTTTTATAACACCATTAATCTCAACAAAGAGGCGCAGTCCTGTCCGTCTCTCCCATTAAATGTATGGGTGTCAACAACTGCGCTCGTTGCCTCCGCTGTCCCACGCCTGGTGGTGCATGTGCRCGTTTCATCCCGCCACAGTGAAACACGCTGGAGCACAAGTGGAGGATTGACTGTTTACAGACTGCAACAAGTCGTTTACAGATCCTGTAACACAAGCCATGCTTYGTCTGCTAAACCACACCGAAAATTAAGTCCACACATACAATGGGCGTGCAGGTGTTCCATAACACCATCCCATCACCTCGGCCCTGTGCCAAACTASTGGCAAGCTCTCCCTTTCCTGTGCATGCAGGCCCTGACAGCCTCCTTGCACCGSCACCTCTGCTGAGATACCGCCAAGCTCCACCATCATGTCCATGTGCCCTTCTCCGCTGTGTGCTCCAGCAGAGTTCCACAATGCACAATAAACCTGCAGCCATTCCACAGAATGAGGTGCACTTCCCATGCCCTTGCTCCTGCCTTTCCACAAAGGCCAGACCAATAACATCCCAACAGGCTATTGTGTTGTCCACGTTCCTGCACATACAGAAATGCCATCGACATCTCCAGGCATCAGCGGCATGCACCCTGCACTACCCCAGTACATACCTTTGCCTGGATGATGATGATGATGCTCTCATTTATCTGAGCTCCATGGAGGAAAATCAGTAGGAAAGAGCATACTACTCTTCCGCAGATGCTATCCATCTTCCAAACAGATCAAGCACACTATCCAGTGTTGCAGAAACATRTTGTGGATGACACCACCACCAAACTCACATGGACCTCTGCAGGACTCGTCATTTCCTGTTTTGTGTGCTGACAGCTGCAAGCCCCTCTAACAGGAGCCAGGCAGAGAGCCACACCAAATTCCCATGCTGAGCAGCCCAGCYCCAAATGGTGTCCGCCAGACTCCATATGTGCATCTTTCTTCCAGTGGCTTGGCTTAAAGGGGAGAGGGGCAATGCAGATGAAAATCCTGCAAAGGGAGCTGGGTGCTGGGCTGCCTCTCCAGTGATTCCCAACACTCTTGCCAGTAACGTTACGGTCTCAAGAGGGCTATTTGCTAGTGGTTAAGCAACATACACTCTAGTCCATCCAATGCCAAAGCATGAAGCTTCCTAATGAGCCACCACTTTCCAGAAATCTTTCTCTGCATGACAAACGAACRCATTTTTATCATGAAATGTGCCCAAGGCTCCCCACCTCAGCTCCAATTCCTTTTTTCCTTTGTAACTTGAAGTTTCTTAGTCAGCAGAAAGCTTAATTTTCCCTCAAACCCAAAAATCCATATGGGATACATGTGATTATGATTAAGGTGTTTTTACTATTTGTGAGGCCCAAGTAGATTAAATGGATTTTTTAAAAAAATAGACTTCTAAATGTTTTCCTCTGATGGTAACACCATGAGATAGATTTCCAGTTATTTGGCTGCCTTAAACTTGCAAGTTGCTGTACTTTACTGTGGCTCAATTACTTACTCAGTTTAACTGAATCTTTTGAGTTTATAGCATCTGGCTTGAAAACAATTACAGCAAGAACTGTGTAATACAATCTTCCCTACCTGTGCTGATGGGTGTCAATGCTCTGAACAACCCCACAGCACAGTTTCCATGGGGAAAATACTTGCAACATCTCCTTGCTTTGGTGCTGTGCCCGTGTTAGGGAAATCCAAGCTAAGCAGAGGATCTTCCATGCATCCCTGCCCAGCTCTGCTTCCAAGAGCAAGCAGGTGAAGTGGGGTCTGTACTCCCGCAGCAACAAGCGGGCGACCTGTAAATTATTTCTGTAGTTTTGTGCATGGTCGAAGTTAGTTGGGATTCCCGTTCCTCCATGGGACCCAGGAGAGTCCTGCCCCATCTTCCTCCACCTCGTGGGCAGTCACCCCTGTCCAGGCTTTTATCAGGCCCACAGCCCTTTCTCAGTTTCACTGTTAATTTATGTTTACTTTTAAACATGTTTCCCGAAGGTAACAAGGAAACTTTTGACATGGTATCACCCTGGAACTCAGGACTGGAGGCTAGAAACTTCTGACCAGTGTGTTCCAGTGCTGCCCAGTGTGGGAGGCAAGGGTGGGAGGAAGGAACTCCGGASCATTTTGGAAAGAGGGGAGACTGCAGCCTTGCATGAACCGTTCGTATGTGGGACAGAGATAACAGACTACAAGCTTGACGTGCTGGTGCTGCAGACAATGTGATCTGAAAGATCGGTTTATGGTCTCTCAGGCTATTTTTTGTCAGCTCCTCTTGCGTTCTATAGCAATGCAGAGGGGCTGATGGGTTTAGATGTTGGGTGCTGCAATGCTGCCACTGTATTGCTTCATTTATGTGCTGGGACACAGCCATACTTCTGTTCTCCTCATTTTTGCTGTTTCCCGGACTGAGGGTTGCTCTAGCCTGTTTGTAATATCCGTTCTGTCAGGTTACATACAATCGTTAACGTGAAAAATATCTTTCAGTCTCTGTGTAAAACTGGCACCACCCTATGTMCCTATGAATGTGATGCTGTTCTGCAAAGGCTGCAGGTACATTTCGCCTCTTCCTTTAACCTAGTTTTGACCATTTTTAACTGGTGTGAAGGGACTTACTCCTTGTGTTTTCCATTCAGCAGCCCTGTAAGCTCTCCAGATTGTACTGATGCCTGCCATGACCAACCTAAGGTTTTCCCACTCCTGCCTAGGAACCCTGAAGATCTCAGAATTTCTGAGAAGTCTTGCCCTTTTGTTTTTCCTKTGGTAAAGCAGAGAATTTTGTCCTAGATCATTTTTGAGAGGAGAGGGGTCTCAAACT